ATGGGAGCAGATCGCCAGGTCTTTTTCCCTCAGAGCTTCTGGGTGGGTTTGAACCACCAGCCTTTTGGTTAGCAGCTGAGTGCTTAACCATTGAGCCACCAGGTGTTTATTACTTTGCTTATGACATTGATGAGATTTCTTATTTGGTGCTGTTACCATTTCACAGTCGGTTGGCAAAGTTTGACTCAGGGTCTGAAAATTAAAATAGCTGCTGCTTCAGATTTTTTCTGAGAACAAAAACTGCAAAATATAGTAGGAAAAAACTGAGTTCTGAGACCTTAGTTGCAGGTCTGATCCTGTCACTGATTTGCAGTATGATTGTGGATGGATTTTTTTTGTTGCATGTGGCTTCAAATAAATACATATGCATCTAAAGAGGATGGAATGATAACACTGTAGTCCCCTGTGCTAAGGAGTTGCAATTTGGGAATTCTTCAGGTGACAGCATTGGATATCTATAGCTTTTCCTTTATTTGTAAGCTTATTGTGTTTGACTTTTCACCCTACAGATAATCTAATTCATTACTTTTTAAGTTTATCGAACTTGGGAGTCTGTGGTTGCCATCTACACATTATCCATTCATCTTCTTCTAGTTTATTTCTGGGTTAATTAAAAATAAACTGTAACATCTCTAAAGCTGTGATTTATAAGTAAATTGTTACTCCATTTTTTTTCTCTGATATTTATTTCTAATAGTCTGATTGAGGAAGACTTATTGGTTTTAATAGTTTCAGATTTATTACATAGATTTGAGTAGCCAGTCCCACTGCCCTATGTTCTGTGTCTAAATATTTGTCATCCATAGAGATGAATGACCCCACAGAGATGAATGGTAAAGATGCTGAGCACCTTCCAGACTTGGAAAGCCATGTCAAAAGTCTGGACATTGTTTTGGTATATAGGATGCTGCTTATAGATAATAAAGACATTCTGTTTCACTAGTTGGCAGTATGTTCTTGGCTTATAAATAATTTACTATTTTTGATGTCCTATTTTTAAAAAAATCCCCACACATCTGTCAGTTTGTCATACTGTGAAGGCTTACGTGTTGCTGTGATGCTGGAAGCTATGCTAACGGTATTTCAAATACCAGCAGGATCACCCGTGGTGGACAGGTTTCAGCAGAGCTTCCAGACTAAGACAGACTAGGAAGAAGGACCTGGCGGTACACTTCTGAAAAAACTGGCCAGTGAAAACCTTATGAATAGCAGTGGAAGATGAGCCCCTCAGGTTGGAAGGCACTCAAAATACATCTGGGGAAGAGCTACCTCCTCAAAGTAGAGTCGACCTTAGTAACGTGGATGGAGTTAAGCTTTTGGGCCTGCATTTGCTTACGTGGTACAAGTCAAAATGAGAATAAACAGCTGCAAACATCCATTAATAATCAGAACATGGAATGTATGAAGTATGAAGTCGTCAGAAAAGAAGACTGCGTAAAGATTGATATCCTAGGCATTAGTAAGCTAAAATGGACCGGTATTGGCCATTTTGAATCAGACAATCATATGGTCTGCTATGCCGGGAATGACAAATTGAAGTGGAATGACATCGCATTCATTGTCAAAAAGAACATTTCAAGATCTAGCCTAAAGTACAATGCTGTCAGTGTTAGAATAATATCCATATGCCTACAAGGAAGACCAGTTAATATGACTGTTATTCAAATTTGCGCACCAAGCGCTAACGCCAAAGATGAAGAAGTTGGAAATTTTTACCAACTTCTGTAGTCTGAAATTGATCAAACATACATTCAAGATGCCTTGATAATTACTGGTGACTGGTTTGTGAAAGTTGGAAACAAAGAAGGATTGGTAGTTGGAAAATTTGGCCTTGGTGATAGAAACTACACCAGAGATTGCATGATAAGATTTTGTAAGACCGATGACTTCTTCACTGCAAATACTTTTTTGAAACAACACAAAGGGCGACTATACACGTGGACCTCACCAGATGGAATACACAGCGATCAAATCGGTGGAGAAGCTCAATATCATCAGTCAGAACAAGGCCAGGGGCCTACTATGGAACAGACCATCAATTGTTCATCCGCAAGTTCAAGTTGAAGCTGAAGAAAATTAGAGCAAGTACAGGAGAGCCAAAATACGACCTTGAGTATATACCACCTGAATTTAGAGATCATCCCAAGAATAGATTTGATGCCTTGAACACTAATGACCAGAGACCAGATGAGTTTGCAAGGGTATCATACATGAAGAAAGTGAAAGGTCATTAAAGAGACAAGAAAGAAAGAAAAGACCAACATGGATGTCAGAAGAGACTCTGAAACTTGCTCGTGAACATCAAGTAGCTAAAGCAAATGGGAGGAATGATGAAGTAAAAAAGCTGAACAGAGATTTCAAAGGACAGCTCGAGAAGAAAAAGTAAAGTATTATAATGAAATGTGCAATGACCTGGAGTTAGAAAACCAAAAGAGAAGAACATGCTCAGCATTTCTCAAGCTGAAAGAACTGAAGGAAAAATTCAAACCTTGAGTTGAAGGATTCTAAGGGCAAAATATTGAACAATGCAGGAAGCATCAAAAGCAAATGGAAGGAATACACAGAGTCACTGTACCAAAAAGAATTGGTCAACATTCAGCCATTTCCAGAGGTAGCGTATGATCAAGAACCAATGATACTGAAGGAAGAAGTCCAAGCTGCACTGAAGGGAAGGGCAAAAAACAAGGCTCCAGGAATTAACAATACCAACTGAGATGTTTCAACAAACGGATGCGTCACTGGAGGTGCTCACTTGTCTACATCAAGAAATTTGGAAGACAGCTTCTTGGCCAAGCAACTGGAAGAGATTCATATTTGTGCCCATTCCAAAGAAAGGTGATTCAGCAGAATGCAGAAATTTATGAACAATATCATTAACCTCACACACAAATAAAATTTTGCTGAACATAACTCAAAAGCGGTTGCAGCAATACATCGACAGGGAACTGCCAGAAGTTCAAGCCAGATTCAGAATAAAACGTGAAAAGAGGGATATAATTGCTAATGTGAAGAGGGGTATAATGGCTGAAAACAGAGAATACCAGAAAGATGTTTACCTGTATTTTATTGGCTATGCAAAGGCATTCGACTGTGAATCATAACAAATTATGGATAACATTGTGAAGAATGGGAATTCCAGAACATTCAGTTGTGCTCATGCAGAACCTGTACATAGACCAAGAGGCAGTCATTCCAACAGAACAAGGGGATACTGTGTGGTTTAAAGTCAGGAAAGGTGTGCTTCAGGGTTGTATCCTTTCACCATGCCTATTCAATCTGAATGCTGAGCAAATTATCTGAGAAGCTGGACTATATGAAGAAGAAAGTGACATCAGGATTTGTGGAAGACTCATTAACAACCTGCGATATGCAGGTGACACAGCCTTGCTTACTGAAAGTGAAGAGGACTTTAAGCACTTACCGATTAGGATCAAAGACTACAGCCTACAGTATAGCTTGCACCTCAACATAAAAAAAACAAAAATCCTCACAACTGGCCCAATAAACAGCAGCATGATAACCGGAGTAAAGATTGAAGCTGTCAAGGATTTCATCTTACTCGGATCCACAGTCAGTGCCCATGGAAGCAGCAGTCAAGAAATCAAACGATATATTGCATTGGGCAAATCTTCTGCAAAAGATCTTAAAGTGTTAAAAAATCAAAGATGTCACTTTGAGGATTAAGGTGTGCCTGACCCAAGCCATGGTATTTTCAATTGCCTCATATGCATGCAAAAGCTGGACAGTGAATAAGGAACACTGAAGAAGAATTGATGCCTTTGACTTATTGTGTTGGGGAACAATATTGAATATAGCATGGACTGCCAGAAGGAACAAGTCTGTGTTGGGAGAAGTACAGCCAGAATGCGCCTTAGAAACAAAGATGGCAAGACTTCATCTCATTGTCTTTGGACATGTTGTTAGGAAGGACTGGTCCCTGGAGAAGGACCTCGTGCTTGGTAGAGGGTCAGCAAAAAAGGGGAAGACCCTCAACAAGATGGATTGACAACAGTGGCTGCAACAGTGGGCTTAAGCATAACAGCGATTGTGAGGATGGTGCAGTGTTTTGTTCTGTTGTGCATGGGGTCGCTATGAGTCGGAACCGACTTGATAGCACCTAACTACAACAACAGTTTTAAAAATGGTATCGTGACTTCAGACCTCCTCTAACATCAGGGGGTGAATGGAGAATCAACATCAGTATCAGCCCAAAGTTGATTCCTGTGAGGTGGAGGTCAGACATACCTCCTCCCTCCAATCTTTTCACCAATTCTGACACCACAGTCCCTCCCACTGCACTCTACTTCTCTACTGGGTTCGATAATTTGTTGCAGTCACCACACAGAACACACAGACCATACTAAACAGTTAATGAGGTGTATTAGGGAAGTAACAGGTTACAATTCAGGATCAGTATCAGGAAGCACGCAGGCAAAGGCTGGAAGGCTCCCCCCTGAAAAGGGGAGCACATCCCTCCCTTCTTCAGTGCAGGACAGTTCTCTCAGCTCCTCTCGTGGTGCAGGTGTCCTCTCAGTCCCCTGAGCACAGGCTTCTTCTCTCAGGCCTCAGCCCCTGGGCCCTCTCTCCCCATCCCCCACTGGGGCCTGGCCTCTGCCCTTCTCTGGCAAGTGTTACAAAGCTCTTTAGTTCTACCGATAAGTTCCTGGAGGCACCCTAGTCTGCCAGGAAGCCTCCTGCCCAAAGGCACTCAGCTCTCTTTTTCCATAGGCTGAGAAGCTCACCATGCCATCTGCTGCCGGTCTTCTGCTTCTTGGTAGTGCCGCCAGACTCTGCTGTGCTTGCCACCTCTTCTCGCCGTCTCGCACTGTTTCCGGTGTTACGGCTCTCTCTGTCTCCTGGGTCTAGGAGGTTTTCAGTGTAGGGATCCTGGGTCCAAAGGACGTGCTTCGCTCTCAGCTCTTCTTCCTGATGGTAGTGAAGTCCCCTTTCCTGCCTCTGGGATTGGCTCCCTTTAAGCCTAGTGGAGTGGCAAAACTGCCCAATCCCCTTGTTAGGATTCCATACACCTTAATTTGCATTATTAGCAGGTTGTCTAATCCCCTTGGTGGGCCACAAGCACCTTATTTGCATAGTCCCATCAATCATTTTGTGGCAGTCACAAGACTATGGCTAGCAGGGCGATATTAAGTAATTCATTGCACTGCACCTAATAAAGATACCCATGGATTAAACTCCCTTAATATGTGACAGAGTTCATCGAACAGTTCCTTCAGCAGATATGTGTGTGCCAGGCCCTGGGGATCTATGGGGGAACACACATAGGCAAAGTCCTCGCTCTGTCGGGGAGCTCACATTCCAGTTGAGTGAGGTAGGCACTGAATAAATGTCTGGTATAACATCAGTCAGTGGGAAGTGCTAAGAAGAAAAATAAGAAGGGTAAAGAGACAGTGACAGGGGACTCTAATGTGATCCTTTAATGACGTGAAGAACAAATAATGAATGGTAGTGAATGTTAGCATTATAAATTCTAATTACTAAATTATTTTTCTCTGAAAATCCTTTTTAATAGTGTTAATAGTTGAAACATCACTCCTAAGAAAAATGCAATGTATTTATATTGTTTTCTTTGTATGAAAATGGTGCAGTAAGATCGATACACAGGTAATTTTTCCAGTGACCCTCAAGGTTTGCACTTATTATCCCTGCCTGGTTTGTGTTCCTTGGGGCCTGTGGCTTACGTTTGTCAGATGACCGGCTTGGGCTAGAAGAACAGTCTCGGACAAGGGCTACGGAAGGTTGAGGCTGGAACCTTGTCTTTGATACTGTGAGCTAACCAGCTGAGCTAGTCCATACAGACATCCCGGTTTAAACTTTTATAAAATTTGGATTTTTAAAACTGTATTCAAAATTGAAAATATCTGCTAGGAACAGAAGAGAAACTTTCTCAGTGGCTCGCCATTCTTTCAGCTCAGATCATGGTTAACCTCATATCTTGTGAAGGATAACTTTCAAGAATTCAGTTTTTAACAATTTGAAGGATCATTCTTCTCTTTTTATTTTAAAAGATGCTGACTGATTTCAGTTTATCATTTTTTTAAAAATCTGTGAGTCATGTTTTTATGGATAAGGGTGCATAGATCCTGGCCAATTCAGTCCTCTTCAAATTGCCTTTGTTTTAATATACTATGTAGGAAACGGAGCCCTGGTGGTGCAGTGGCTTAAGAGCTTGGCTGCCAACCAAAAAGTCGGCAGTTTGAATCCACCAGCCGCTCCTTGGAAACCCTATGGGGCAGAGTCAACTCAGCAGCAGCGGATTTGGTTTGGTTTTGTGTCGGAAGTATTTGAGCACATCAAAGTTCATTCTTTTTTTTTCCATTATTTCCTTACTCAGATGATTTATAGTTTCTTTTTGTATTTAAGAAAAAATGTAGTTCTGTGACATATAACTGATAATAAGCACTTGAGACTTCATATATCATGTCACTGAAAAGATACCTGGATTCACATATTTTAGGGAAAATGTGGCTTTAATAAATGGGTATGTAACTTAGCTGCCCAGTCAACTTGGTTGGTTCATTATTTTTCTGGAACAGATTGGTAACTATATTGATTTATCTTTTTTGGTGACACTGTGTATAATATGACTACAAAAGTGAAAATACATTTCAATAATTTGTTTAATTCATCTCCTATTCCTAGTAATTTCTATTTTCTCTGCAACTCACAATGAGTTTATTTTCTGAATAATACATGTTAATGGCCTTCCCATCTTTTTCTTAATTGTTTTAAGATGTATTAGTGCTCATGAATCATCCTTATGTTAAAGAAAAGTACTAGGATATTACTTTTCATGTCAAGGCTTCTCCGTGTCTACTTCATATTCTCTAATGTGAGGTGAACAGACCTATTTTAGTTTTCAGTGTAGTGACACATATGTGACATCTTTGCCAATGATACACTGTGTAATCTATGGAAGATCCAAGTCCTCTTTTTTCTAACAATTCTTTCTAACATTCTAAGTGTTTCTAACATTCTAAGTCCTGCTTCGTTCCTGACCTAAGCTTGTGTTTTTCATGAACTGTTTTCCAATTTTGTGGATTCTGTGATTCTGTTGCCACTGTCGTCTTCGTGGCATCATAAATAGAAGACATTTACTTTTCTTTCAAAAAAACTCTTGGTCTAAGAGACAGATAACACAGTGGATAGGTTTCTGAAAAGGAAACTTTAGCATAATTTATGGATTTACCCTTATCTTAACATTTGTTTCTCTCTTGATTTTTGTCATAGTTCAAAGAAGGATTGTGATATTTATTCTCTACTGGCTGTGTAAAAAATATAAGGAATTTAAAGTCACTGAAACTGAGGTAGCAGTAAGAAGAAGCATATGACTCAAGTAAAGCTTTGGGTCAACATTTACTGAAGTATTATGTTAATATAGTTCCTGTTTGTCTGAAAAGAATTAATGGCTGCTTTTATGCCTGTTTATCTTTGCTCTTAGATGAATAGCTTTGTTTAGGGAGGTTCTGCCTTATTTATTCCTCTCTTGATGCCACTCTAGAGGCAAAATACATGGTGAACCACTTTGTTCTTTATTTTGTATTGGTGCCAAACTTTTTTGTGTGTGTTTATTCATAAAGTAAGTTCGTGAAAATACCAAAAAAATTAAATGTCATTGAGTTTTGTTTTTGTCAATCACCCATCCTCATTTGTAATGATTTTATATAGCTTGCATATATATACTTAGGTTTGTCTAAGGTTTTGAAAGTACAGATATTCTGTTATAATGAAATATTGAGAAATGCAGAAAATATCATAGCACAGCACTCCTGTTGTTCCATGGAGTTATCTAATTAAATCTAGATGTTGAATGGGGACTAACAGTATTAAAAGAGATATACCAAGTGTTCTGATCAGTATTAAATCTTACCTTTAAAAAATATGCAAAAAGTGTATTTTAAAATGCCTGGAATTGATAAGCTTTATGTCTGGCTGGCAGGAACATTGAAGTGCAGTTGCATCGGAAGGTACTGTTTATGCCAACGTTTGTCCAGAAAACATTCCAACCAGGTTGCTGCGGAAGCGACTTTTCATTATAATAGAAATCAAAAACTTGGTGCCTTTGCAGAGCCTGTGTAATCAGAAATAGAAGAAAGAGTTATTAAGCTATAAAAAGCTGAAAATAGTTTAGTTCAGTTAACATATTTAATGAATACCCAGGTGAGCTAGGCGCTATATGAGCTGCAGGGGATACGGTGGTGAGCAAGTCTGAGGACTCAGAGGGGCAGATACCCTGCAGAGCAGGATGGAAAGATTGCTTCACTCCTATCTTATGTTACCGAGTCTGCTCCAGATCCGGAACTCAGGCTCTATTTCTTCTAATCTCTGAAAATACTCCCCACATAGAACACAAATTCCTTGAACTGCTGAGGAGTGCGCCTCCATTTTTAATACGACTAGCAGTGTGAATGCCACTCAGAATCATCGTGCATTCTTTTAGGATATGTGCTGTTAGTTGGAGACACTGGTGTAACAGTAGTAATAGGCTTATTTTGTTGTGCCGTGTAACTTAGCTGGATGAGTTATTTTGTGAAAATGTTTACGTGTTTATTGTCATTTAGTCAACCTCCACCAAATTTAATTTATGCTAAAACCTCAATTGAATGTCATAACTGTATAGGACATTGGACAAAGCCCTTTCTAGTTGCATAAATATGACCACAGAGCCTCAGATGAGGTGGCTGCACCACCTCTTGCCTCTCCCAGGGAGTTTATTATTAACACTCATTTCCTACCCAGGATTTCACTTCCTGGAGGCTTTGTGAACAAGAAAATGGCCCTTCCTCCCAGAAAGGTTAGAGGCCCCCAGAGTATTGTGTTGTGATTTCAAATAGTATTAATAATTTAGCATTCATGAAAATAAACTTGGCCCATACACCCTGGGCTTAAAATAAATCAAACAGCTGATTACATGAAGATATTAGACATTTTTGACTTTTCTTTAAGTTCCCGTTCAGTTATTTTATCTAGTATTTCATTGTTGTTTGTTTTACTTGTATCTTTATTGAAATTATGCCTTCATTCAAGGCAGGGAGATTAGAGGATAAGGGGAAAATTTGTTGATAATTTGAAAGGCTGACATTTATAAATGAGAGTAGTCATTACATACTTTGAAGATTATTATTTTTTTCTTTTTCCTTCCTTCCTTCCTTTTTTTTTTTTTTCTTCAACCCTTTTTTACCCCCCAATCCTAATCTCCTAATCATGATTGAAAGCTATTTGCAAATTTGGAGACGTTCAAGAATGTAGAATTCATTATGGTAATTCTTTTTATACGTTAGAACCTTTCATGATTGTTAAGGAAAAAGCCCTAGAAGTAGCAGTACTGATTTTAGTCAAAGCATAGTTTAATAGAAAACATATGTTTGTTTGACTCTTGGCTCTATAATTATACTCTGAAGAAAAGTGAAATTTGAACTCCTTGAACCCACGCATGATAACTTTTAGGAAGCTTTACTGGGATTATTGTTTTAAATTTTCTTTTCAGAGCAAAGAAAATGACTCCGAGGGCTATTTTCTCTCCGTGTAACTTAATTCCAGGGAATCGGCCACACGGTGGAGAATGGGGCTAGCTTTGTCATTTGGCATTAACACCCCCTCTCTGTAACTAGCACAGATTGTGGGAGTTCAACATTCTGTGTTCAGTGTTTTAAACCTTTTCCAGTTGGACAGTTGTTCCTTCCACAAGAATTCGTTGGAGATACAGTGATATAGTAAACAAACAAGAACTGGGAACCGCATATCTTTTTTTTAAAAAAGTAGTTATATTGTAAATATAAATGATTGGCTTGACTCCGTTTTATGTAACTGAAGTTTCTTTTTTTCTTTTTGTGGTAATAGGTGATAGCAAATGACAGAAGTCCCTTGGTGGGTAAAATCCACTGGGAGAAAATGGTAAAAAAGGTGTCAAGATTTGGAATACGTACAGGCACTTTTAACTGTTCCAGTGACCCCAGGTAAGTTGATTAGGCAGTTCTTAAGAATTTGAATCCTGACTAGGATCTAGCTTGTTAATGAAGATAATTGTATTAGAAGCCTGTTTAAACTGATTGCTGATCATACTGTTTAGCTCACTGATGATAGAGGTCTTGAATTAATATTTCTGATTCACTGGCGGTTATTTTTCCCTCAGAGATCTCTGTCTCTTTCTTCCTCCTCCTTTTCGGTCTTCTTCCTCTCTCCTCTTCAGTGTTCTTTCTTGTGGGGTAAAGACATAAAGAGTATGTTTTTAGTCCTTTTTGTTTCAGTTTTCTTTTCCAAAGAGACCTCAGCATATTCATGGTTTTAGGTAACACCTTTGTGAAGATCTAAATCTTCTTTCATAGTTCTGACTTCTGATTTGCATTTTGAACATTTTGATGTTCTTTTCCATCTGTCCTACAGCTATCCATAGATACGTCCTTTTTCCTAAAATCTAGTGTTCAAAATCAGATTAATCTTTTTCTTTAATAAACCATGTCCTTTCTACCTTTAATTTTTCTCTTCTTTACTGTTTCTTTTTTCATTTTCTCAGACAGGAATTCTTGGAGACATTTTTGTTTTCATCTTCAGTATTCACTCTGTCACATTATTTCTTATTTCATTATTTCTTTTTTGAAATGCTTATTTCTACTTCTAGTACCACGAAGTTATAACTTCGAATTATTTATCCATTCAGTAAGTAGTTAATAAAAGATTAGCATATATAGCATACTCTGTTTCTTGCTGAGGAGGGGAGTATATGATGTGTATCTAGAAAAACCCACAATATTAGGTAGTTGTGTAATGTAGGTAGATAACACCTGACTTATCTATGACCCTTATATCTGTTGACCACTACAGGCAACCTGCTGGCTATCGAAAACCCTTCCATACCACTGCTACAACTCAGATTTTCTTGCCCTTATTCTTTGGCCTGACATTTATTTTTCTCCCCACTATCCCTGTTTTGGAAACCCTAGTGGCATAGTGGTTGAGAGGTATGGCTGCTAACCAGAAGGTCGGCAGTTCAAATCCATAAGGTGCTCCTTGGAAACCCTATGGGGCAGTTCTGCTCTGTCCTATAGGGTCACTATGAATCGGAATCAACTCGACGGCAGTGGTTTGGTTTTTGGTTTGATCCTTGTTTTGGAGCCCTGGTTGGGGCAGTGGTTAAGTGCTTGGCTGCTAACCAAAAGATTGGCAGTTCAAACCCACCAGCCACTCTATGGGAGAAAGATGTGGCAGTCTCCTTCCTTAAGGATTACAGCCTGGGAAACCCTTTTGGGGCAGTTGTACTCTGTCCTATAGGGTCACTATGAGTCGGAATCGACTCAACGGCAGTGGGTTTGGTTTGATTACCCTTGTTTTGCCCACTGATAATGTGGGGCGAGACCTATGGTAGGAGGATGCCCTAAGGGTTGAGAATAGGACAGGAAGTTCCTGTATCTCTTACTCAGATTTAGCTTCCTTATCTACCCACAAAGCTGCAAATGTCCAGGATAGCTTGTCTTAATATTCTTCTGAAAGGAAAATCATTCTTATTTCTGTCCTGTGTTTACAAAGACCTTAGCATTTTGGTCTGACTCCATCTTTCCCAAATAGAGTCTAAGTGAAAAAAAATTTTTTTCTATTGGTGATTACAGTACTAGTACAATTGATAGTGATATTTTGATTTTTTTTCAGAATACCAGAAGTCAGTATCATTATCACTGTTTTATTGAAAAATATTTGGAATTCATTTTTTAAGGAATCATTGAAACAAAAAATTTCAAGCACTATAATTTATAAATATTTTAGAAGTGTTAAGTAAATACAAATTTATAAAGATATAAAGGTTAAAAACTTACTACAGTCTAATATAAGTTGTTTGATAACATTAATAATAAAGAATTCAGAAATAAACTGAGCACAACATAAAATGAAGATAATCTATTAAGCACGAAAAGCTGAAAGTAGTATTTGATCTTGGTTTTCTTTTTGGTGTAATTTTAAACATCAAACTGTATCAGTAGTGTCATGACTGAGTACAGTGGATTTTAGTTTAAATGTTTCTAGATTTTGAAAAGCTTCCTGATTCGATCCTAGCTGAGGAATGGTGGACAGTACATCTAAGCTACCTCTGGATGTGTTCCTCTGAATCCTCCGTATTCATCTTTAAATAATCCCACATGTTATTTATGATAGAAAAGATCTTTTTAAGTAACTTTTTGCTCTTTTGTTGATTGAAGCAGTAATTTTTTGTTATTGAAAAAACAGTTGTACTCCATCATCTTTTTTAGTTTCATCTCAAAGGTGAAGATTCTGATGCACGGCTACTTGTACAGTTTCACTATTGTCATGTTCATGTCTCATCTTATTTGGAAAGTCATTCAAATAGAGTAAAAACTATTCTTGCTATAGAAGCTGAGCTTAGTCAGGGTCTTTTTTTTTCTTCTTCTTCGGAGAATTAATGGAGATATAGAAGAACAAAATAGGGAGATATGGGAAAAAACGTTCAGGATTGCAGTGCAGTGTGTAACTGGGCAAGAATAGTATTATTCAGCAGATGTTTTTATCGTATGTTGAATAATTGAGTCATCATCTTGGTTTCAGATTTTTTAAAATACCAAAACTGTGTACACTGCTCTCTGTGCTGCTTTCTTTGACTGTGGTCTCTTCTCTGGGGTAGCCTTGGGGCAGGCTCCTCTGACGTAGCCTTGGGGCAGCCTCCTCTGACGTCCCACTCCCATTGTGCAGCAGTATTTCCTGTCCTCTTTAGCGCCCCTGAGAATGCTCAGGTCCATTTCCTCTGGACAGCTCCTGACTGTCCAGTTGTAGCAGTTTTTATTTCTTTCTTCACACACTCAGCAGAGGTGGCCTTGTCTAACTCTTACCTCTCCCCATTACCCAGCCAAGAGATCTATTTCATAGGGCTTTTCCTGCCACATCTATGCTCTACTCTTTTTTTGGAGGAAGTAGGAGGTGAGTGTGTGTGAGTGTGTCTGAGGGGGAGTGGAGAGATGGTGGTGAAGGAAGATAGAGGACATGGGAATTGCAGGAGCTGAGTCGTCATCAGGGGCTAGGAGGGCTGAAGATGAACGTATCAGGGATGGGGGCCCGTGGAATGGACAGGGAAGAGGAACGGAGGGGGGATTGCAGAGATGCCAAAGAAGGCCAAGGAGAACAATGAACTTCTGAATAAACAGCATTATATAAACAGAAATATCAAGAGGTCATTTTAAATATTGCACGCCACACCAGAAACTGGAATACCAAAACTCACTAGCCATGTTTCCTATCACTTTTAGTTTTAAAATTCTCTAAGAGACCTCAGAAGGTCTCTAAGAGATCTCGAAAGATTTACTTTAAGAACTATAAGATGTTTTCATCGTATTATTATTGAGTTTATTCAGATATTTAGAAAAAAATTTTTTTTGAACTGGCAGTGAAAGTTTTCATATTGGTAGAAGGTAATAATACAGCATTATTCTTAAAAAATAATATATACATTAGTCCTTATTTCTATTTAGCAGTGGAATTTTAAAATTAATACAATATACTATGGTTGTGTTTTGGATTTATATAGACCAGTGTTTAGATAAATATATGTTAGCAGCCTGGTGTTTTATAAGTATTAGTGGTTTTTTTTTTTTTCCCAAATGAAAACATAATTTAATTTGAAAGATATTGGATGACATATAGAATTTGTTTTGTCATGGATACTCTTACATTCCATCTGGATTGATTAGCCTTAAAACCTTAAAACTATATCACTTAGCTCTCAACTGAAAAGAAAGCACACAGTATATATGTTTTCTTACATGCAGGCATGTATTCCCTAAGGCTTGCTGGTTTTACAGAATAAGGTTTTCTATCAGAAAGACTGCCATATAAATTGTGACACAAATCAGAAGCCAGATATTCTCTGAGGTAGTTCAGAAAGATAAAAAGAATGACCAAGAGTAGAAATGTGTCATGTCAAGTATCATATACAGTTAAAACAAAACAACCTAAAGATATTTAAAAGGAGCCCTGGTGGCACAGACGGTTAAGCACTGGACTGCTAACGGAAGGCTCAGCAGTCCGAACTCACCCAGTGGCTGTGTGGTTGCTGTCAGTCGAAATCTACTCAACAGCACCTAACAACAAAGATATCTAAGATGTAAATTATCTTAATAACCTATATGCATTTGACTGGTTGCTTTGTTGTTGTTGTTAGGTGCCATCGAGTCGGTTCCAACTCATAGCAACCCTATAGGACAGAGTATAACTGCCCCATAGGGTTTCCCAGGAGCAGCTGGTGAATTTGAATTGCCGACCTTTTGGTTAGCAGCTGAGCTCTTAACCACTGCGCCACCAGGGCTCTTGTTGCTTTGTTAGGAGAAGGTAAAAAATAGAATTCATGTCAATGAATTATTATTTTGAGTTGGACAAATAATAGTGTTAAGGAGTAGAAGTTATTTTGTATGGATATGTATGTAGTTTTTCAAATAATTTCAGTTGAGAGAGAATACTAATAGTAATGGAATCTGTCTTCTTAGGGAAGTGAATCAACTCAACAAAAAACTTAAGAGTCATAGCCTGTGATTTCTGAGTCACCTAGAAAGCATTTCCCAGAGTCATTACCAGACTTGTCTTTATGACAAAACATGTTGTCTTCAGTTAAGTTATATCACAAAATTCCTGAGATATTAATAATCGTATTATCTTTATAAAACCATAAACCACATACTCACACGAAGACTTTCCTTTCAATCTGATCATATGAATGTGTAATATACTTAATAAGATATAATCCATGTTTATTAAGTAAAGCATAACACGATTTTTACATGAATATTCTTAATAGCAAAATAAGAAATAAAATATTACTATTATAAATCTGGAGTGAACAAAATTATTCACATGGTAGGTTTTTTTTTTTTTTTTTTACATCTTTATTGAAGTATATTTTACATATCATAAAATTCCACATGGTAGGTAGGTTTTGGGGGGAAACAACTTTTTTTTTAAATAAGGAAAATGTTACTTATAATCCCTTTACTGTAATACAGCGGTTGTTTTCATTGTTCACTATTTCCTTTTATTCATCACCTGGGTTTTTTTAGGGGGAGAGGAATATCGTAAATCTCATAGCAAGAGACTTTTTTTCCCAACAGAAGCGGAATTGTGACCCTACTGGATAAACCTGAACAAATGATTTAATTTTATTTAAATTCTTACTTTGTCTAAAAATGGGAATAATCCTTGGACTGACTCTCTTCTTAATCTGAATACTTTCTATCTTTGTTTACTCTGTGTTGAAGTAAAATACTCCCCTTCATGGTCTTCATTGAAGAGAGGAGAGAATTAAAAAAATATGGGACTTGTAGTAGCTCTTTTCTGGGTTAGCTTTTACACAGATTACTTTCTTTGTAACAGTGCCTGTGTGCACCAGGTGCTGTTCAAGGTGCTTGCCTCCTACCCTCAAGGAACTCTTGATTCAAGTCAGGGACTCAGTGCGTACGATTATCTCTCTCCTTCTCTCTTCTCCACCCACCTGAATTCTAACTGCCCTTCAAGACCTAGTTCAATTCCCAAACCTTCCATGAAGTCTTCACCAGCTCAAACTCCCAATGATATTTCCTTTCTTTGAACTTCTTTTGCATATTTATTAATAGAATTTATACAGTTTTTATATTTCTAATCTTTGTTGTCTTAATTTTTAAAAAAATCAAACCCATTACTGTCAAGTTGATTCTGACTCATAGGGAACCTATAGGACAGAGTAGAACTGCCCCATAGGGTTTCCAAGGAGCACCTGGTGGATTTGAACTGCCAACTTTTTGGTTAGCAGCCATAGCTGTTAACCACTACGCCACCACGATTTCCTGTTGTCTTAATAGGATCTAAAATTCTTTGTGAGCAAGAATTATTTTCCTGTTATCGCTTGCATTTACAAGTACATAATGCAGTAGTAGACACATAATAGATACTAAAGTACGTATTTGCTGATTCCTTGACTCAGAGTTTTCAAGGTATACTTTCTTTAAAAAAGAAAGAAAAAAAGAAACAAGTACAAAAACAAAAATACTGCAAAGAGAGAGTTTGCTTTTTCCTCTTGTGCAACTGCCAAATATTGGTACCACTTTTAATTATCTGGAAGTTGTTTTGTTTTGGGGAGCAGTTAAAAATGCGCACTTTCAGATACTTTCGAGGGAAGGTAAATTGTTTACACAACAGTGAAGATGAGCAGGCTAGCTCATCTAGCAGCCTAGCTGTTTACTTACAGTTTACTCTTTTCTAGATACTGCAGGAGAAGAGGCTGGGTACGATCCACCCTCATTATGTCTGTTCCACAAACGAGTACTTCTAAAGGGAAAGTCATGCTTAAAGAATACAGTGGACGCAAGATTGAAGTAGAGCACATTTTTAAGTGGATAACTGCTCACGCAGCTTCTCGAATCAAAACCATTTATAATGCTGAACATTTGAAAGAAGAATGGAATAAAAGTGATCAGTATTGGGTAAAAATATACCTGTTTGCAAATCTTGACCAACCCCCAGCTTTCTTTTCTGCACTAAGTATAAAGTTTACTGGAAGAGTTGAATTTATTTTTGTTAATATGGAAAATTGGGACAATATGAGTTATATGACAGATATTGGTATATATAACATGCCATCATATATACTTAGAACTCCTGAAGGAATTTACAGATATGGAAACCACACAGGTGAATTTATATCCCTTCAGGCAATGGATTCATTTCTACGCTCATTACAACCTGAAGTAAATGATCTGTTCGTTTTAAGCTTGGTTCTAGTTAATCTTATGGCTTGGATGGACTTATTTATCACACAAGGAGCTACCATAAAGCGATTTGTGGTTCTCATAAGCACTTTAGGGACTTATAATTCTCTATTAATTATTTCCTGGCTACCTGTGTTGGGCTTTTTACAGCTCCCTTATTTAGATAGCTTTTATGAATACAGCTTAAAATTGTTGAGATATTCCAATACAACCACACTGGCTTCATGGGTGAGAGCAGACTGGATGTTTTATTCTTCACACCCGGCCCTGTTTCTCAGTACTTACCTTGGACACGGTTTACTAATTGATTACTTTGAGAAGAAGAGACGGCGCAACAACAACAATGATGAAATTAATGCCAATAACTTGGAATGGTTATCAAGCCTGTGGGACTGGTACACCAGCTACCTCTTCCACCCAATTGCTTCTTTTCAGAACTTTCCTGTAGAATCTGACTGGGACGAAGACCCTGACTTATTCTTGGAGCGGTTAGCTTTCCCTGACCTTTGGCTTCACCCTCTGATACCAACTGATTATATAAAAAACTTACCAATATGGCGATTTAAATGTCTTGGAGTCCAGTCTGAAGAGGAAATGTCAGAGGGTTCTCAAGATATTGAAAATGACTCAGACAGTGAAAGCACAGACACTTTTACCAGTGAGAAGGAAGCATTTGAAGATAAACAAAGTATAATTCACAATTCTCAAGGAAGAGCAAGTCACTGTGATTCTGAGGCTTGTTCATGTGCCAATAAATATTGTCAGACTAGCCCATATGAAAGGAAGGGGAGGTCATACGGATCGTATAACACTAATGAAGCTATGGAACCTGATTGGTTGACTTGGCCTGCTGATATGTTGCACTGTACTGAATGTGTTGTTTGCCTGGAGAATTTTGAAAATGGGTGTTTGCTAATGGGGTTGCCTTGTGGTCATGTGTTCCATCAGAATTGCATTGCGATGTGGTTGGCTGGGGGCCGACACTGTTGCCCTGTTTGCCGGTGGCCTTCTTATAAAAAAAAGCAGCCATATGCACAACACCAGCCCTTGTCAAATGATGTACCATCTTAACCATGTGCAATTTGTCCTTTATAAGCTTTGAGTATCTTACAGCTTGCCTTTTTAATGTTAGTCACAGTGTTTTTGTGGTTTAAAGTTTAGTTTAATGTTAGTGCAGTGACAGGAAATACACATTATGCTAATGTTGATGACTGAATTATTTGGTTGCCTTGTGTGTCAATTGAATGCATACTTAACTGTAAAAATTTTTATTTACAACATTGGAAATTCAGAAATTAATGTTTTTTGTAAGCACAAAAGAAGTATGATACAAATTTATCCTACCAAGAGTTTACAAGGTAGGATCAAATTCTAATGGAATTGAGCCGGTTTCTTATCCTAAATGTTTCCTCCCTTTCTACAACCTCTGTCCAGCACCTCTTGGTTAAATAATGTATGCTCTGAGACATGAAATTAAAACAGATCTATGAAATAAATTATTTTAAAACCAGAAAGATTAAGATTTTCTAATGTAAATTGTTGACTGAGTGCTATATGTGTTTTACGAGTTTGTTAATGTTACAGGTAGGTCAAACATGATTCTTGACTGATGTTAAAAAAAAAGATGGAAATTATGTTGCTGCCATTGGCCAGAAGGTGAGGTTAGTCCACCTTTTTAGCTTTGTTAGCTTTGATGGGAAGGAATCTCATGGTGGACTTTTTGTTTTTTGTTTTAAGTATTAAATCATCTATCAATATTTAGCGTATTCATCTAAATAAAATCAACTATAGCATGCTAGCCACACATAGATAACCTTATATTGACTTTTGTGTGTGTGTGTATAGATATGTTATTAATGATATTGTTCGATAATTTCCACATTCTGTTGGATCACTTTTTTAAATTGTGCTTTAGGTGAAAGTTTACAGCTCAAGTTAATTTCTCATACAAAAATTTATACACATATTATGTGACATTAGTTGCAGTCCCTACAATGTGACAACACACTCCCTCTTTCCACCCTGGGTTTCTTGTGTCCATTCAACCAGTTCTGTCCCTTCCTGCCTTCTCATCCAACCTCCGGACAGGAGCTGCCCATTTGGTGTCATGTATCTGCTTGAACTAAGAAACACACTCTTCAAGAGCGTTATTTTCTGTTTTATAGACCAGTCTAATCTTTGTCTGAAGAGTGGGCTTTGGGAATGGTTTTCATTCTGGGTTAATACAGCGTCCAGGGTCCATGACTTTGGGGGTTCCTCCAGTCTCACACCATTAAGTCTGGTCTTTTTACGTGAATTTGAGTTCTGCTCCACACTTCTCTCCTGCTCTGTCTGGGACTCTGTTGTGTTTCTTGTCAGGGCGGTCATTGATGATAGCCAGGCAGCATCTAATTCTTCTGGTCTTAGGCTGATGGAGTCTCTGGTTTATGTGGGCCTTTTGACTTTTTATTGCAATTTTTTTTTTAATTTTGAAAAATTTTTAAACTACAGAAAAGTTGAAAGCATAGTACAGTTCCATTCCTCTTCAACTAGATTCACCAGGTGTCACATTTTGTTAGTTTGCTTTCTCTCCTTTCTGTGCGTATATTTGTCTTCTTTATTTCTTTTTCTTTTGCTGATCTCTTTCAAAATAAATTTCAGTCATCACGATGCTTCTCCCCTAAGTATATCATGATGTATCTCCTAAGGATAAGGACATTCTCTTAGAGAACCACCATACCATTATCACACCCAAGAAACTTGACATTGATTCAATAATATCTAATATACAATCCATACTCCTCAGTCGCTCTCAAAGTATCCTTTATATGTTCTTGTTTTTATCAAGATTCAGTCAGTGTTCATGCACTGGGTTGTCATGTCACTTCAGTCTCCTTCCTTTCATATAGAGCAGTTCCCCTGCTGTTTTGTTTTTGGTCTTTCCTGTTAGTAACATTTTGAAGAGTCCAGACCAGTTGTCTTATAGAATGCCCACATTCTGGATTTGTCTGATTATTTCTTCATAATTATATTTAACTTACAAGAGTTATTGCCTAGGTGCTATTTATTTCCCATTTCTGTGACATCAGGAGACACTTGCTGTCTGTTTGACCCATTGTTGGGGATGCTGAGCTTATTTAAAGTCAAACCTGCCTTATTTTCCATTAGAGGATAATTTTTTCCCTTTAAAGAGGTCCTTTGAGACCACTGAATAGCCTGCTCCTCAACAACCTTTAGCCCAGTGGTTTTTGTATTCACTGACTGTTCTTTTCTGTGTCAGTTATTAAGTAAAAGTTGCAACATGGTGATTTTCTAATTCTGTTCTTCATCCTACATTTATTAGCTGGCATTTTTTTTGTAAAGAAGAGCTTTCCATTTTTCCATTTTTCTTTCACACTTTGAATATCACTGTGAATTCACAGATTATTTTTATGTTGTGTATTAAAATTCATTATTCTTTTAGATACTCAAATTGCCCCTTGTTTGGCCAGTGGGAGCTCCTCTAAACCACTCTCGTGTCCTATTGACATGGCCATTTCAGTCTTTTTTTAAATTATGTTGACGTTTTTTTTTTTAAACTTGGATTATTTGGAATAAGTACTAGATTGAGCAAAAATCACACTGGTAAATTTTCTGAAAGTATTTGTTAAACTGAGTTAATGTGCCATCATCCTGATTTTGCAGACAAGGAAATTGTAGATACAGCCAACCTCCATAAGCTGGTGAAGTTAATGAGCAAAGGTGCTGTAGAAATTTCAGTTACTTGTCAACAAAAATCTCTCTTCACTGGAGAGTCATTACCTACCATTCTGCAGTATGGACTTGACTGAGCTCCAAGGACATAGTCAATTCCTATGAGGTAGGCATATTGTCTATGGGCAGATTTGGCACATAAGCTTGTTTTAAAGGCTGTGTTTTTCTTAACCAGTGCTCTCAGGTTCTTCTCTCTTTTTTTTTTTTTTGAACATTTTATTGTGTTTTAGGTGAAAGTTTACAGAGCATATTAGTTTCCCATTCAACAATTTATACACAGACTATTTAGTGAAATTGATTGCAATCCCCGCAATGCATCAGCTCTCTCCCCCTTTCTATCCTGGTTTCCCTGTTTCCATTCCTCCTGTTTTCCTGCCCCTTCCTGCCTTCTCATCTTTGCTTTTGGGCAGGTGTTGCCCATTTGGTCTCGTATACCTGACTGTTCAAAGAAGCACGTTCCTCATGGGTGTTAGTGTTTGTTTTATAGACTTGTCTAATACTTGGCTGAAAGGTGAATTTTGGGAGTGGCTTCAGTTCTGAGTTAAAACGGTGTCCAGGGACCATAGTCTCAGGGGTTCCTTCAGTCTCTGTCAGACAAGTAAGTCTGGTCTTTTTGTGAATTTGAATTTTCCACATTTTTATCCTGCTCTGTCCGCGACCCTCTATTGTGATTCCGGTCAGCAGTCAGTGGTGGGTAGCCAGGCACCATCTAGTTCTCCCGGTCTCAGCCTAGTGGAGGCTGTGGTTCATGTGGTCCGTTAGTCCTTTGGACTAATTGCTCCCTTGAGTCTTTGGTATTCTTCATTCTCCTTTGCTCTGGACTAAAAGAGACTAATAGCTGTATCTTAGATGGCCGCTTGCAAGCTTTTAAGACCCCAGATGCTACTCACCAAAGCAGGATGTGGACCACATTTTCTTTATGAACTGTGTTATGCCATCTGACCTAGATGTCCCCTGAGACCATAATCCCTAGCCCTCAGCCCCAGCAACTCAGTCCCATGAAAGTGTTTGATTGTGTCTAGGAAGCTTCTATGACTGCCTCCTGTGTGCTTTGTTATATATATGAATATACATGCTGCATATACAAATATGTGTGTAAAAATATCCACAGCCAAACCTGTATATGTACGTGGGTGTACTCCTGTACTCCCACCTACCTCTATTCAGCATGCATATCTACCTATGTATCTGCTTGTAAAATTACTGTTTTTACTGTTATTATAGGGTTGTATATGTTACAGTATTTACTGTGGTTGCCTTTTTTTTTTTTTTCCGTTCTTCTCAGTGTCTTCCTTTGCCTTGGTCAAGGTTGTGCTGACTTCCCCTACATTGTGTATTGCCTTTCTCTTCACCAAAGTTAACACGTCTGCTATCTAGTTAGTGATTCCCCCCCCCTTCCACCTCCTTGTAACCATCAAAGGTTGTTTCTTTCTGTTTGTGAACCTTTTCTTGACTTTTTATAATAGTGGTCTCATACAATATTTGTCCTTTTGTGTTCAACTTATTTCTCTCAGCATAATGTCCTCCAGATTCATCCATGTTGTGAGGTGTTCGCAGATTCATTATTCTTTATCATTGTGTAGTATTCCATTGTATGCATGTACTGTAGTTTATCCATTCATCCGTTGGTGGGCACTTAGGTTGTTTCCATCTTTTTGCTATTGTGAATAATGCTGCATTGAACATGGGTGTGAATATGTCTATTAGTGTCATGGCTCTTATTTCTCTAGTATATATACTTAGGAGTAGGATTGCTGGATCATAGGGTATTTCTATTTCTATCATTTTCCATAGCAGTTGTACCATTTTACATTCCCACCAGGAGTGTATGAGAGTTCCAGTCTCCCCACAACCTCACCAGCATTTTTTTTGTTGTTTTTTTGATCAGTGCCATTCTTGCAGGGATGAAAGGGTATCTCGTTGTAGTTTTGATTTGCATCTCTCTAATGGCTAATATAGGGTCATTATGAGTCAGAATCGACTTGACAGGAACGGGTTTAGGAGCCCTGGTGGCACAGTGGTTAAGAGCTCGGTTAAAAGCTGTCCTGTAAGGTCGCTGTGGGTCAGAATCGACTCAATGGCAACGGATTAATTGGCTGATGATCACAAGCATCTTTTCACGTATATTCGTTGGCCGCCGGAATGTCCTCTTTGGTGAAGCATCTGTTCCTGTCCTTTGCCCGTTTTATGATTGGGTTGTTTGTCTCTTTGTTGTTATTTATTGAAGTTTTCTATATATTTTAGAGATTAAACCTTCATCAGTGTTGCCAAAGATTTAGGTTTTATTTTTACTCTCTTGGTAAAGTCTTTTGATGAGCATGAGTGTTTAATTTTTAGGAGATCCTAGTTATATACTGTACCTGCTGGAGTTTGTATATTTCTAGTTATGCTTGATACTCTATTTATGCCATAGATTAGGGCCCCTAGTGTTGTCCCTATGTTTCTTTCATGATCTTTATAGTTTAGGTTTGACATTTAGGTCTTTGATCTATTTTGAGTTGGTTTTGTGTATGGTGTAAGATATGGGTCCTGTGTCATTTTTCTGCAAATGGATATCCAGTTTTGTCAGCACCATTTGTTGACGAGACTATCTCTTCTCCATTTAATGGCTTTCGACACTTTGTTGAAGATCAGCTGTCCATAGCTGGATGGATTTACTTCTGGGTTCTCAGTTCTGTTCCATTGGTCTATGTGTCTGTCATTGTACCAGTACCAGGCAGTTTTGATTACTGTGGCTGTATAGCAAGTTCTGAGATCAGGAAGTATGAGGTATTCTACTTTGTTGTTCTTCAATATTGCTTTAGCTGTTCGGGGCCCCTTTTCTTTCCATGTGAAGTTGGAGATTAGTTTTTACATTTTGTTAAAGAATGTTTTTGGAATTTGGATCAGGATTGCATTATATCTATAGATCACTTTGAGTAATATTGCCATTTTCACAATGTTAAGTCTTCTAATACATGAGCAGGGAATGTTTTTGCATTTATGTAGGTCTCTCTTGGTTTCTGGCAGGAGTGTTTTGTGGTTTTTCTTGTATAATCTTCTACGTCCCTAGTTAGATTTGTTCCTAAATATTGTATCTTTTTGGCAGCTATTGTAAATGGTATTGTTTTCCTGATTTCCTTTTGAAGTTATCTTTGTTAGTGTAGA